GAAAAAAAAAAAAATACAAAACTTAGTTGGGCACAGTGGCAGGCGCCTGTAATCCCAGCTACTCGGGAGGCTGACGCAGGAAAATCACTCGAACCTGGGAGGTAGAGGTTGCAGTGAGCCAACATCATGCCACCACACTCCAGCCTGGGCGACAGAGCAAGACTCTGTCTCAAAAAAAAAAAAAAAAAAAAAAAAAAAAAATTAGAATTGGGAAAAGGCAAGAAAATGAATTCTCATCCTGGAACCTCCAGAAAGCAGTGCAGTCCCCTGAGACCGACTTCAGTGCAGTGAGACCCATTTTGGACTCTCGACCTCCAGAACTGTAAGATGACAAATCTGTGCTGTTTTAAGCCACTAAATTTGTGGCAAGGTGTTACAGGAAGTGGGAAACTAACATAGAGGATGAGGAAGATGTCACAGAAGGAGAAGTTACGTCTCGTGCTGGCTCAGTAGGCAGATACTCCCTGGGAGACTTCTCCATTCCCAAACCGCGCCATACACCCACTGCCTGGACCTCGGACTGCCTTGCTAAGATCAGCCGGGTAAGGTCAGCCCGGTCAGCCGGGTAGCCAGGGGGCAGGGCTAAAGGGGATTCCATCTTTTTTCTCTCTCTCTTTTTTTTTTTCTTTTGAGACAGAGTCTTGCTCTGTCACCCAGACTGGAGTGCAGTGGCGTGATCTCACCTCACTGGAACCAATGCCTCCCAGGCTCGAGCAATTCTCCTGCCTCAGCCTACCAAGTAGCTGGACTACAGGTGCACACCACTTCAACCAGCTACTTTTTTTTTTTTTTTTAGTAGAGATGAGTTTCACCATGCTGGCCAGGCTGGTCTCAAACTCCTGGCTTGGCAGGCAGGAGGGCTGTAATCCGTGGTGGCAGGCACCTCTAATCCCAGCACTTTGAAAGACCGAGGCAGGCAGATTACTTGAGGTCAGGAGTTCGAGGCCAGCCTGGCCAACATGCTGAAATACTGCCTCTACGAAAAATACAAAAATTAGCCGGGCATGGTGGTGCATGCCTGTAGTCCCAACGCTTTGGGAGGCTGAGACAGGAGAATCGCTTGAATCGGGGAAGCAGAGGTTGCATTGAGCTGAGATCACATCACTGCATTCCAACCTGGGCAACAGAGCCACTCGAGAACAAAACATGGACAGAATTTGGTTCTGGTTTGGATACAGGGGATTAGAGAGAAGAGTGTGCCAATAATCGGTTTGTTCACCAATTCACTGAACATTTATTGAGCATCTGCTCAAGAAATGGACAGCCCTATTCTGGGCTCTAAGGAGACAGCCACGAATGGGACAGCAATGCCTGCTTTTGGAAAGCTGACCTCCTGGTAGGAGAAAGACCACAGGCAAACAAAGGGCACAGAACATAATGTCAGGGGTGACGACGCTGGGAAGGAATGGAGCAGGTGCGGAGAACATGCTGGAACTCACATGCTGAAGTGGTGCCAGAAAGGGTCATCTCCCGGGTGACTGCTTCCAGCAGTGGAAGGGTAGGGAGCACACTGCAACAGGGCCAGGTCTGCAAGAGAAAAAGACATGGCTGGTTGGGTGTGGGGGCTCATGCCTGTAATCCCAGCACTTTGGGAGGCTGAAGCAGGCAGATCACTTGAGGTCAGGAGTTCAAGACCAGCCTGGCCAACATGGTGAAACCCCATTTCTATTAAAATACAAAAATTAGCCTGGCATGGTGATTCGTGCCTATAGTCCCAGCTACTCGGGAGGTTGAGGAAGGAGAATCGCTTGAACCGGGAGGCATAGGTTGCAGTGAGCCGAGATCTCACCACTGCACTCCAGCGCAAGACTCCGTCTCAAAAAAAAAAAAAAAAAAAAAAGACATGGCCACACGAAGACTTCTATGTGAGTGTCCACAGCAGCACTATTCACAACAGCCAAAAGCAGAAACAGCCCAAATACCAGTCAACAAATGGATGAGTTTGGGTTTTGGGGTTTTTTGTTTTTTGTTTTGTTTTGAGACGGAGTCTTGCTCTGCTGCCCAGGCTGGAGTGCAGTGGCATGATCTCGGCTCACTGCAACCCCAGCCCCTCAGGTTCAAGCAGTTCTCCTGCCTCAGCCCCCCGAAGTGTTAGGATTACAGGCGTGAGCCACCGTGCCCAGCATTCACAAAATATTTTTGAAAAGGAAAAGAAAGAAAGAAATGGGGTGGGGGAGGGAGGAGGAGTTGGGGAGAAAGGAGGTGGAGAAAGAAAAAGAGAATGAAAAAAGAGAGAGAAAGAAAGATGGGGAGGGAGGGAGGGAGGGGCGGAGGGAGGGAGGGGGGAGTGGACAGAGAAAGCAGGTGGGTTTGAGAGGTCGGTCCTGAGTCAGCAGGAGAGGGCATCTGGAGACCGGAGTCAGGGTGTGGGAGTTGGGACAGTGAACATGCGTGTGCCTTGTAGCGCCTGACTCATTGTCACTCCAGAAATGTCACCTTCTATCACTGTTTGGGGTTTGTGTTGATTGGGTCGTCACTATTGCCAGGCTTGCTGCGAGACAGGGTCAGCCCTGAGCCAGCAGGGGGCAGCAGAGGACCGCACAGAGCCACTCACAAGTGCTGCAGCTACCTGGAGCTCCCCCCTCCCCATGCACCCACCCCGTCTCTGCCCCTTTCTTTACCCCTCTAGGAACACAGAGAATCTATCCAGCTGCCCAAGCCGAAACCTGGACGCTGCCCTCCCCACTCTCACTGCGCACCAGGGCCTGCCCTCCAGGCCTCTGGAACTTGGCCTTCCCCCATCCCTGCGGCCCAGCTCCAGACCAGGCAGTTTCTGTCCCCTCCCTGCCCCGGCCTCCCGCCTGGACTCCTGCCTCCTCCCATTCTCCCACCACAAAGCAGCCCAAGAGATCTTTCTAAAGCCCAACTCAACCCAGACCCTTCCCGCTCAGAACCGTCCATGGCTCCCCAGTGCCCTTGGAGTCCAAGCTCTTCACCACAGCCTCCAACGCCTGCAAACTCCAGGGGACTCTCAGTCTCACCTCTCAGCACCCACTGCCCTCTCACCCCTGGCCCTGGTCCACTGGATTTAACTTCTTTCTGTTTCCCTACATACTGTGTTCCATCTCACTTCCAGGCCCTTGCACACCCCCAGGCACACAGCTCCACTCTTCCTGCCCATTCCATTCACCTTCCAAGTCTCAAGTCACACCTCTACCTCCAGGAAGCCCTCCTTGACCTCCTGTGAGCTCACCCACCCCAGACCTGCCCACTCTGGGCCATCACTGTCTGGGGATGGGTCTGTCTCCCTCTGGACTATGAGCCCGATAAGCACAAGTGCTATCTCCATCACTGAGGGCTCCAGCACTGACCAGCACAGGGCAGGGACCCACGGAGTGTGGATGCTCATTATACACATCCTTCCCTTTCCCAGCCTCGCAGTCCCCATTCATTCATTGACAAATGTTTATTGAGCAACTACTATCACCAAACTCTGTTACATGAACTTGACTGGCATGAGAGAGGGAAAGATAAACCAGCCCAGCTCCTACGCTCAGGGAGCTTGAGGTCTGTTAGGGGAGATGACCTGGAACTCGATGTAATAATAATAATTGGCTGGACGCAGTGGCTCAGGCTTCTAATCCCAGGCTGAGGTGGGCAGATCACGAGGTCAGGAGTTCGAGACTAGCCTGGCCAACATAGGGAAACCCCGTCTCTACTAAAAATACAAAAGAAATTAGCTGGGCTTGGTGGTAGGCACCTGTAATCCCAGCTACTCCAGAGGCTGAGGCAGGAGAATCGCTTGAACCCAGGAGGCAGAGGTTGCAGTGAGCCGAGATCGTGCCACTGCACTCCAGCCTGGTGACAGAGCGAGACTCCATCTCAAAATAAGAAGAATAATAAACATTATCGAGCCCTTACTATACACCGTGCACTGTGCTAAGGGCTTGACATTTATTCACTGATACCCTCACAACAGTTCTGTGAGGGAACTTTGGCCATTAAAAGTAATGGCAAAAACCGCAATTACTTTTGCACCAACCTAGGACTGTGGTTATCCCCATTTTACAGATAAGGAAAATGAGGTTAAGTAAGTGAAGCTGGCCGGGCACAGAGGCTCATGCCTTTAATCCGAGAACCTTGGGAGGCAGAGGCAGAAGCACTGCTTGAGCTCAGGAGTCCAAGATGAGCCTGGGTAGCACAGCAAGACCCGTCGGCACAAAAAGAAACATGTTTATTTGCTTTTATTGATCTATTTATTTAGAGATGGAGTCTCGCTCTGTCACCCAGGCTGAAGTGCGGTGGCACCATCTTGGCTCACTGAAACCTCTGCCTCCCAGGTTCAAGCGATTTCCTGATTATTTTTGTATTTTTAGTAGAGATGGGGTTTCACCATGTTGGCCAGGCTGGTCTCCATGGAACTCCTGACCTCAAGTGATCCACCCACGTCGGCCTCTCAAAGTGCTGGGATTACAGGCATGAACCACCACACCGGGCCAAAAAAAATTTAAAAATTAGCCAGGCGTGCCGGTGCCTGCCTGTGGCCCCAGATACTTGGCAGACCGAGGTGGAAGGATTACTTAAGCCCAGAGGTCAGGGCTGCGGTGAGCCCTGATTGTGCCACCACACTCCAGCCTGGGCGACAGACCGAGACCCTGTCTCAAAACAACAACAGAAAAAGGTGAGGTCACGCAGGGCATCAGTGCACAAGCTGAGAAAGAAACCGAAGTCTTTCTAACGCCAGAACTCTGTCATCTGCTCATTCCAGCCTGAGAGGAAGGTGAACCAAGATGCAACCCACGTCCACTCAAGTGGGCTCGGTGTGTCTGAGCGGCGGTCTCTGCCCGCTACAAAGGCCACAGAGAAGAGAGTGAGGCTTCACCCAAAGGAGGTCTCGCTGATGGTGGAATTTCAGGCACTGTGTTTACGTCTGGCATAATTAGGATGAGACTAGTGTCCCTGACTGGAACTAAGAGTCCCCCACCCCACCCGCACCCCCAGCTCCCAGGCTCTCTCCACCAGAGTTCACTGCCTCCCTCTCCCCCTCTCCCTCATCCTCTCCCCAGGAGCCCTGGTACACCCCGAATTCTCAGGGCTGTGGCTCCTCGTTTTACAAATGAGTAAGTTGGTGGCTGGGAAGGAAGTGGGCTGGGCCATGACCGAGAGTCATTATGATTCACGGGGAAAACCCTCCTCTGTGCAAAAGGCTTTGTGCGGCTTCCTAGGATCACAGGGTCAGTGGATGTGTGCAGACCCCTAGAGGTCTAGACAGCCCCTCACCACCCCGCTGCCAGCTCCCCAGCCCCCGGGTGGGTCTGCAGTCCTGGACGGATCCTGTGCCTGGGGGAGGTGTGGACAGGTGTGGGTTGTGGTGTTGTTTATACGTTAAACACACTGGGATTCCAGGTAAGTTTCTATCAGAAGAAAGCCCTTCACTGCTCAGATAGAAATTTCAAAATACTGAACTGCCTTTGGATCCTGGCAGAAGGGAGTTTTCCTGGAGTGATGAAAGTGTTCTAAAATTAGATTTGAGCGAGGGCCGCACAAAAGGAATTATGGTATTATTAAAGAAATCGTGGCTTTGCTGAAAAAACTGAAAACTGGAACACGGAGCATTTGAAGGTATTGAGGGACTGCTCATTTCTATTTTCACTGTTTAGGTGAAACAATGGCATTGTGAATAGGTGTTTTAAATGAGTCTTTATCTTTTAAAGATACAGGCGGAAATAGCTATGACTGAAATGATCTGATGGCTGGGATTTGCTTTCAAATAACACGGGCCGTGGGTGAGGAGAGGAAACCAGATTGGCCATCAGCTGAGTGATGGGTATGTGGTTTCAAGGGAGATACCATTCTGTGTGTGTGTGTGTGTGTGTGTCTGTGTGTGCGCACGCACATGCGCGCAGGCGCGAGAAACGGAGTCTTCCTCTCTCGCCAGGCTGGAGTGTAATGGCGTGATCTCAGCTCGCTGCAACCTCCGCCTCCCGGATTCAAGCCATTCTCCTGCCTCAGCCTCCTGAGTAGCTGGGTACAGGTGTGCACCACCACATCCAGCTAATTTTTGTATTTTTAGTAGAGATGGAGTTTCACCATGTTGGTCAGGCTAATCTCGATCTCCTGACCTCGTGATCTGCCCGCCTCAGCCTCCCAAAGTGCGGCGATTACAGGTGTGAGCCACCGCGCCCAGCCTGAGTACCACCATTCTTCTCTCTGCTTTTGATGGATATGTAACATTTCCCAAAATAAAAAGTGGTTTTTAAATTTTTTTAACCATTAGCCTGGTGCTGTGGCTCACGCCTGTAATCCCGACACTTTGGGAGGCCGAGGCAAGCAGATCACTTGAGGTCAGGAGTTCCAGACCAGCCTGGGCAACATGGTGATTCTCCTGCCTCAGGCTCCTGATGTTGCTGGGATTACAGACACCTGACACCACACTCAGCTAATTTTTTTTTTTTTTTTCTGTATTTTTAGTTGAGACAGGGTTTCACCATCTTGGCCAGGCTGGTCTTGAACTCCTGACCTCATGATCCACCCGCCTCAGCCTCCCAAAGTGCTGAGATTACAGGCGCAAGCCACCACGCCCGGCCTCCTGGGTGCTCCTTCTAGGGTCAGGAATGAAGGGGACGTTTGGTCGTTTCTCCCCAAGAACAACCTCCCCAGGACCAGCCTGAGTCAGCTCCAGGCCTTGCCAGGCCTGCACAGGAAGCCACACCCTGAGGTCAGATCCCTGAGCAAATATTACAGCCCCCTCTGCCCCACCCAAGATAAGGAGAGGCTGAAAGGGGTCCAGAAGCCTGCTTCCGCCCAAGAGATTAGCTCCAGCCACACCTCAGTATCGAGGCCTCCCCATCCCTGCCCAGGGAGGACAGGACAAGGATTCTGCCATGGAGGCCCAAGTCCACCGTTTCATCTAATACATATTAATGATCTCGATAGTGGGCGGGGTCTTGAAGAGGAGATAAAGGAGTCCCAGCCTCCTCCCGCTCCCTAGGGAACAAAGTGACTGGTGAGATAAGAGGGCTGGGCAGGCAAGGGGCGACCCTGACCAAACAAGGTCATAGACCGTGTCCCCAGATGGCTGTGCTGAGCATAAGACTCACCTGCTCCAACCTCATGAGGCAATGGCCCAAGGCTTCAGTTTCCTTGTCTGCAAAATGAGTTTTCTTGCGGGTGGAGAGCGGGGAGCTGGATTAGATAACAGGAAAAACTGACGCTGTCAAAAAGAATCATGGACCAGGCGAGGTGGCTCATGCCTGTAATCCCAGCACTTTGGAGGCCAAGGCAGGAGGATCATGAAGTCGGGAGTTCAAGACCAGCCTCACTAACATTGCAAAACCCCATCTCTACTAAAAATACAAAAATAAGCGGATGTGCTGGTAATCCCAGCTACTCAGGAGACTAGCGAAGGAGAATTGCTTGAACCCGGGAGGTGGAGATTGCAGTGAGCTGAGATCACGCCACGGCACTCCAGCCTGGGAGACAGAGCGAGACTCCATCTCAAAAAAAAAGAAAGGTGAAATGAATGTATTTAATACAACATATGCAAAATGTCATCCCAGTATGGAATCAACATAAAAAATGATGATCTGTTTTACATTATTGTATGTGTGTCCTTTTTTTGTGTGTGTGACAAGGTCTTGCTCTGCCACCCAGGCTGGAGTGCAGTGGTGTGATCACAGCTCACTGCAGCCTCAACCTCCTGGGCTCAAGCGATCCTCCTACTTCAGCCTGCCAAATAGCTGGCTCCACAGGCATGCGACGCCACTCCTGGCTAATTTTTAAACTTTTTGTAGAGACGACTTGCCATGTTGCCCAGGCTGGTCTCGAACTCCTGGACTCAAGCCACCCTCCCACCTCAGCCTCCCAAAGTGCTGGGATTATAGGTGTGAGCCACTGTGCCTAGCTCCCCTTCGCTCTGACAGTGTCGCCTTGCGGCCCTGCATAAACCAGTGCCCGACCACCTCCATCCCTCCCCTGTTTATTTTTCTCCACAGCGTCGTCACCACCTGTTGTAATACTGCTCATGTTTGTATGTGTCTACGCACTGTCTTCTGCAGTCAATAGGTCAGCTCTATGTCTATCTTATTCATGGTAACCCCACCGCACCTAGCACAGTCCCTGGCACATAGTAGGTGGTCCTTTGTCAAATGGTGGAGGAACAGCAGCCACTGTGCACCCAGTGCGTGCTCTGACGCAGGCCCAGCACTGAGCGCTCTGTGTGCCTATTTTGGTTTTTTGCTTTTCTGTTTTTTGATTTTTGTTTTGAGACTGAGTCTTGCTCTGTCGCCAGGCTGGAGTACGGTGTTGCCATCTCAGCTCACTACAACCTCTGCCTCCTGGGTTCAAGCGATTCTCCTGCCTCAGCCTCCTGAGTAGCTGGGATTACAGGTGCCCGCCACTGTGTCCAGCTAATATTTGTATTTTCAGTACAGACAGGGTTCCACCATTTGGCCAGGCTAGTCTTGAACTCCTGACCTCATGATCCACCTGCCTTTGCCTCCCAAAGTACTGGGATTACAGACTTGAGCCACTGCACCCGGCCCCATGTACCTATTTTGAGCCACCTCGCCCAGCCCCATGTGCCTATTTTAATCCTCAGAAGAGTCCCAGGGAAGTCAGTGACATGACCGCCCACACCCACTGCACAAACGGGCAAAAGCCCCTGCCCACGAGAACCCCGTCTGCTTTCTGCCCAGCCCTGGGCCTGTCGCATAGCAGGTGCTAAGAGCCTGCAGCTCTTGACTGAACCAAGGATATGGGCTCATAGCCAGGAGCACCAGAGGAGGGGCCAGGGAGGTGGAGGATGGGAGCAGGCTGGGAAGGGTGGGGGTGACGCTGCGGGGCCTCTACAGCCCAGCCTGGTCACACTCTGCAGGCAGATAGCGGATCACCAGGAACCTGAGCCTCTCTGAAGACTCCTCTCTCTGTGTCATCCACACCTGGTGTCCAGTTCCACAAACATGCTCTGAACCCCTGCTCCGTGCCAGGCGCTGTGCTGGGCAGTGCTGGGGACACAGTGGTGACAGCCCAGCCCTGCCCAGCTGAGGCTCCCAGGCCAGTGGGGGAAAAAGACCCAGCCCCAGACAGCAAGAACCCAGGTCAGTCAGGGCTAGGACAGGGGGATCCAGGGGGTACATGACCCAGCCTTGGAGTCCAGGAGGGCTTCCTGAAGGAGGGGGTTTGGGGAAAGCAGTGGAATAGAGCAGAGGAAAGCAGGAATATTCTGGGTAGACTGCAAGTGAGACAGAAGAACGGAAGCAGAGGGTTCTCGGAAGCAAGGGGTGTTCTATATAGCTGGTCAGGGCAGGGGTCAGGCTGGGCAGGGCCTCCTGGGCCACAGAGAGGAACCTGGGCTTCCTCCCAAGGGCACTGGGGAGCCACAGCAGGTTCTGTGCAGGGAGGGGCAGGGCCAGGTTTCTGTTTTAGAAAGAGCCTCTGTCTGCCATGTGGAGGGGCAATGGGAAGGGGTGAAACCAGAGCCAGAGACTAGAGAGGAGGTTGTTGGGGAGACAGGAGACCCAGCAAGGCGGGGTGGTGGGTGGTCACCTAGACCGGGGGGTGGAGGGGCTGCAGGCAGGGAGAGAAGATATACTTAGAGTCAGTTGCCAGAGGGAGTGGCGTCCTCGGGAAGTAGGGGAAGCATCAGGGATGAAGCCCCGGGTCTCTCTTCCCAGTGATGAGGTGGGCAGTGGCACCTTCCCTGATAAGGGGACAGGGGAAGAAAGACTTCTGGGGAAAGACGCCAAGGTCAGTTTGGGACAAGGTGAATGAGAGGTGCCCAGGGACATGGGGGAGGCATCCTGACTGATACTGGGACAAGGTCCCGGGGCTCTGGGCCAGGAAGGAGAAGGGTGAGGTGAGGTCGCAGGTGAAGAGGGGGAGCAGGAGGCGCCAGGACATCCTCCGAGCCTCTCACCTGGCCTCACCCTCGCCTCCTCTGGGCCTTCCCCCCAACCCCTGCTTGTCAGAGCTCAGAGCCCTGCCCAGCGAGGTCAGCCCAGGACATGGTGCAGGAGGAGCAAACCAGGACAGGTGAGTACAGGTGTGGCCCCCTGCCCGGAAGCAGGTTGCTGAGGCCTCAGAGGAACCAGGATCCAGAAGCCATCAGGATGTGGGCGGTAAGAACACAGCCACCAGCAACTCTGGCCCCGCAGCCTCCCTAGTTCCCGCCCAGCAGCATCTCAGAGACACCTTCCCTGGTACCCTCCCTCCACCCCAATTTAAAGTGGCAAACCAGGCCAGGGACAGTGGCTTACGCCTGTAATCCCAGCACTTTGGGAGGCCAAGGTGGGAAGATCACTTGAGGCCAAGAGTTTGAGACCAGCCGGGGCAGCATAGTGAGACCCCATCTCTACAAAAAAACAAAATGGCATATCCCCTTTCTGACTTTATTTTTCAGTCTGACGTGTAAGATATTTACCTTTCCTTGGTTTGCTCCAGAAATGTCGGCCTCCCGAGGGCAGGGGTTTCATCTGTCTTGTGCACTAATGCATCCTCAGTGCCTAGAACAGTCCCTGGCAAACAACAGGAGCACATTCAATATTCGTCCAATAAATGAATGAGTGATTTACCGAGCATTTGCTCTGCGCCAGTCATTATGGTAAACGCTGTACTTTACACATGTGTCTACTTCATTCTTACAACAGCCCCGTAACATGAGTACCGTGTTTTTCCCATTTTACAAATAAGGAAACTCAGGCCTGGCAGATTCCACAAATTGCCCAGGGAACTATGTCCAGAGCCGATGCTTACTCCTATGAGACAGAATCTCATCCTTCTTGCCCAGGTTGGAGTGCAGTGGTGTGAACTTGGCTCACCGCAACCTCTGTCTCCCAGGTTCAAGCAATTCTCCTGCCTCAGCCTCCCGAGTAGCTTGGATTACAGGCGCTACAGCTGCTCGCCACCACACACAGCTACTTTTTTGTATTTTTAGTAGAGGCGGGATTTCACCATGTTAGCCAGGCTGGTCTCGAACTCCTGACCTTAAATGATCCACCCGTCTCGGCCTCCCAAAGAGCTGGGATTGCAGGCGGGAGCCACCGCGCCCGGCCCAGAACCTATACTTTTTATAGCAGCCACACCAATCAGACCTCACGTTCAGGGTCACGTCCGCCAGGCCCTGGCTTCCATTCCTGACTTGAGGCATCTCACTAACTGCTGTCGGCAGCCCTGAAGTAGGGTCCATATCATCTCTATTTTTTTTGTCTGTTTGTTTTTGAGGCAAGAGTCTCCCTCTGTCGCCCAGGCTGGGGTGCAGTGGCATGGTCTCGGCTCACTGCAACCTCCACCTCCTGAATTCAAGCAATTCTCCTGCCTCAGCCTCCCTAGTGGCTGGGATGACAGGCATGGGCCACCATGACCCACAAATTTTTGTGTTTTTGATAGAGACGAGCTTTCTCCATGTTGGTCAGGCTGGTTGCAAACTCATCACCTCAGGTTATCTAAAGGCACCCACCACCATGCCTCACTAACTTTTTAAATTTTATTTTTAGTGGAGACAGGGTTTCGACATATTGGCCAAGCTGGTCTTGAACTCCTGACCTCAAATGATCTGCCCGCTTTGGATGGGCTTTGGATGACAGGTGTGAACACCACACCCGGCCACCATCTCTATTTTTCAGAATCATAAATGGGGACTCAACAAGGGGGTCTCCCCAGCCCCACTTTGGGTAAGTGCAGAACCAGTGTCAAAACTCAGCTCTCTTTGGCCCCAAAGCCTCCGAATACACCCATTTGACAGAGAGGGGAAAACAAGGTCTCCAGAGAGGGAGAAGGAGAATGTGAATTTCCAGCCGCTTTGCAGGAAGCCAACAAGAAGCAGAGCCCTGAAGAAAGCATGTGGCTATACAGCTTCCTGCCCTTCTGTCTGGGTTTGCACACAGAGCAGGGCTCAAACCCCCTCTCTGCAGGAACTGGACAAGCAGGAGTCCCCACCGGGGGCGTCAGTTTCTCCATCTGCAAAGGGGCGTCCTAAAGATGCCCACTTTCCCAGGTTGTTTGTTTTGCCATCCATGGAGATAACACTGTAGGTCCCCTGCACGGGGTGGGGCCGGGAAAGGCGAAGTCACTTTTTACTGATTTTCTTCCTTGGAGACTCCCAAGCTCTCCCAGGAGGCCATGGGCCTGGGTGGTCGGTAAGAACTACCCAAAAATCTTCCCCCGCTTCTCCCTTCTCCTTGGTGACCTGGTTCTTCTCCCAGTACCAAATCCCGGCCTTCAGCACAAAGAGGGTTAGGCAGCTGCCCCAGGAGGCCTGGCCAGGTCATGGCCTCTGCCTGGTGCCTGCCACACCCACCCTGGTACCCAAACTGGGCCCCAGATCCTTGGTGACTCGATCCCTCCAAATTCAGGTGATCTCCCCTGGCTCCAAATCACCAAACCCTCCCAGGTCCAGCGGCAGACAGAGCTGAGCCCCAACCAGGAAGGCAGTCTGAGCACTGGGACTTCAACACCACCATCTCCAGGACTCGTTTTGGGGTGACAGATGGCGCTGACTGGGTACAGCTGGCTACTCCTCAGTGGTGAGCAAGAATGGCACCCCCCAGCACCTCAGCCCCCCAGGGGCCCCAGGGAGGGGAGGGGATCCCCAGTCCAAGAGAGGGAAGGTGTGAGCCCCAGCATGCTAGGGAGGGAGGGCAGCCCTGCTTCACACCGGCACATTCACCCCTCCAAGAGGCACCTGCATGGGGCAGGCTGGGGACAGCCACCCAAAGAGGTTTTTAGGGTGGGCTTTGGAGATTTCTAAGCCCAGGGCATGAGCCAGGACAAGGGAGCTGCTGTTGCTCCTCCATCCTGCGGGTTTCTGTGTTTTATCAGCTGTAGAAGCCTTCACAAGGCTGAGCTCTTCCCAGCAGCTATTTCTCCCAGAAGATGTAGCTTGGGGCAGCTGCTTTTCCCTTCTCAGCCTCCACGTACCTTTCTATGAAGTGGGCCTCACTGACAGGGTCGTGTGAAGGTCACTATCAGCAGCACTGGTTCCCATATCTGCTGTGTGCCTAGAGCTGTTCTGAGAGCTTCTCATATGTTTAAAACCACCTATGAGGAGCCGAGCATGGTGGTTCACGCCAGTAGTCCCAGCACTTCGGGAGGCTGAGGCAGGCGGATCACCCGAGGTCAGAAGTTCGAGACCGGCCTGGCCAACATGGTGAAACCCCATCTCTACTAAAATACAAAAATTAGCCAAGCGTGGTGGCACAAGCCTTGTAGTCCCAGCTACTCAGGAGGCTGAGGCAGGAGAATTTATCGAACCCAGGAGGTGGAGGTTGCAGTGAGCCAAGATTGTGCCACCTCACTCTAGCCTGGGTGACAGAGAAAGAATCCGTCTCAAAAAAAAAAAAAAAAAAAAAAACCAAGCCACCTACGATAGAGGACCACGCATGAACCCCACTTCCCAGGGAGAAAATGAGGCTCAGAAAGGTGAAATCACTGGCCGCTGTCACACAGCCAGAAAGTGGCAGGACTGAGGGCTAGACCCAGAGTCCCTCGCTCCTAGCCATGCTCTGACAGCCTGGAAAGTTCCGGAAAGCTGGCCAGGCGTGTGAGCATTGTCACAGCCACCAGCTCCAGGGAACTGCCCGCCAGTCAAACCCAAGCAGCCTGACCAGCTCATCAGGCTTGGGGCTGATCTGCTTGGTTGAGAAGGAAAGGCGCGGAGTGTTTTCATCTTACCCGTGCTTTCTGCCACAGGCGAGCTTGGAGAGGCCGAGGAAGAGCCCCAGACTGGGAGTCAGGACTCAGGGACAGGCCCTGACGTCCTACATGGGGCCATGCAATTATCTGGGCTGGAAACACAGCCAGATCTCGTGAGACTTGGTTTGGTGACTGTCACGATGGGAAAACCCCTTGGGTCCGGCTTAAAGCCACGGTCCCATGGACTGAGCACTTGCTTTGCACTTGCTGTATGCAAGATGAGATGCTAGATCCTTGCACAGTTTATCAAACCCAGTCCTCACCACACACCCCTCCCTGGGACTGAGCCCTAACATGTATTGGGCACTTACTGTATGCCAGGCATCTGAATAACATGTATTGGGCACTTACTGTATGCCAGGCATATGACTAACATGTATTGGGCACTTACTGTATGCCAGGCATCTGAATAACATGTATTGGGCACTTACTGTATGCCAGGCATATGACTAACATGTACTGGGCACTTACTGTATGCCAGGCATTCTAAACATGTTATGTGTACAGAGTCCTTACAACCTTACGAGGCAGGTAGACCTGTCATCCCCACATAAGAGATGAAAGAACAGAGACACAGAGAAAGGCAGTGTACTCGAAGCCATGCAGATAAACTCCCAGAAAGATCAGGTGGCTAAGATGTGGAGAGTCAGAGAGTCACGGGTTCAAATCCTGGCTGTGCCTCTCCTCATTTACACAGAGGACATTGAGCTGGGGACGTGCCGTGAGCCTGAGTCTCTTCTGATCAAACCTGCCTCATCCAACCCCTCTGACTCCTCTTCCTCAGCCACATTCGTGAATGTGGGGGCCGAGATCTCTATCACCCTGGAGCCTGCCCAGCCAACCGAAGGGGACAACATCACGCTGGTCGTCCACGGGCTTTCAGGGGAACTGCTCGCCTACAACTGGTACGCGGGGCCCACGCTCAGCGTGTCGTACCTGCTGGCCAGCTACATCGTGAGCACAGGCGATGAGACACCTGGCCCCGTCTACACGGGGCGGGAGGCTGTGCGCCCCGACGGCAGCCTGGACATCCAGGGCGTCCTGCCCGGGCACTCAGGCACCTACATCCTACAGACCTTCAACAGGCAGTTTCAGACCGAGGTGGGCTACGGACACGTGCAGGTCTATGGTGAGACACCCCCTAAGGCACCCCTCTGCCCAGCCAGGCCTTCCCACCTCCTTCTCAATCCTTCTTAAAAAAAAAAATCCAAAAAATGTTTAAACCATCAGGGAAAAGGGTTATAAAATAACATCAAAATGCTCACCTCCTTCAGGAAGACTGCCAGGATTAGACCTGCCTCCTAAACCATTCTTTAGGGTATAGGGGCACAGCCACAACCCGGATATGCCCCTTGTCTGGGGAGGGGAAGCCCCTTGGAGCAGACGGTGCCCGGCCCCCTCCCCCTCTGTCTCTCGCTCCCACAGAGATCTTGGCCCAGCCCACAGTCTTGGCCAACAGCACAGCACTGGTGGAGCGTCGAGACACCCTGCGTTTGACATGCAGCAGCCCTAGCCCCACTGCCGAGGTCCGCTGGTTCTTCAACGGTGGAGCCCTGCCTGTCGCTCTCCGCCTGGGACTGTCCCCCGATGGGAGGACGATAAGCAGGCATGGCATCCGCCGGGAGGAGGCCGGCACCTATCAATGTGAGGTGTGGAACCCGGTCAGTGTCAGCCGCAGCAAGCCCGTCAACCTGACCGTGTACTGTGAGTCCTCCTGGCCCCGCCAGAGATACCTAGTGTCCAAACCTCATGCATGGGGAAACCGAGGCCAGGAGAGGGAGCCCAAGGGCACACAGCGAGTCAGCAAGCAAGCTGGGGTTGGGGACCAGGGGTTCTCTCTTAAAGTGCACTGGCTCTGGCCAGGTGCAGTGGCTCATGCCTATAAATCCCAGCACTCTGGGCAGCCAAGGAAGGAGGATCACTTGAACTCAGAAGTTTGAGACCACCCTGGGCAACATAGCAAGACCCCATCTCTACCAAAAATATAAAAATTAGCCAGGAATGGTGGCACGTGCCTGTAGTCACAGCCACTCAGGAGGCTGAGATGGGAGGATTCTTTGAACCTGGGAGGTTGAGGCTGCAGGTGCAGTGAGCTATGACTGCACCGCTGCACTCCAGCCTGGGCAACAGAGCGAGATGCTGTCTCAAAATAATAATAATGCACTTGCCCCATATCCTAAAGGACTTCCACAGACCATCTTTGCTATTGAATAATCCTTCAGTTAGGGGCAAGACCTGCAGAGAAACAAAACAGGACCAGTTGGTTTGAAAAAGGAGCAGGGGAGGGAATAGTGTAATGGGAGGGAACATGAAATGTGAACAAATAACAGAAGCATGCAGTCATTCTGGGGGCAGCAGTGCGCAGTGTGGAATCCGGGCATGAGGACCCATGATGTAGAAAAACCCATGATGTAGCGCCTGGAACCGCAGACTCCTACAACCAGAGAACTCTGGACTTCAGAAGCACTGGATTCCAGACTCTGAGAATCCTAGAACCTCTAGATGCAGAGATTCTTAGAATCTTAGAATCTAGTCATGAAATCTTAGAGTCTAGAGTCTTAGAAACATAGATTTCTAGAATCTTAGCACCTTAGAACCTAGAAGCACCAATTCTTGAAGCCCTAAAATCCTACACTCAGAATGGCTTTGTTAATGGAGCCATAGATTTCAGAAATATCTTGAAATGTTATCTGGCCCAGCACATTCTTTTTACAGAAGAGAAAGCTGCGATCCTCTGAGAGGGAGTGATTCTTGAGATCCTAGAGCAAGTTAGAGTTAAGGCCAGAGCTTTTTTTCCCTCCTCTAGGTCAAGATATTCCCAGGGACCTAGCCTGGCAGAGAGAAAGCCAGGAGTACCCACCTCCACTCCCCTTTCCTTCTACTGCTCCGTGTCTCTCCCTCCTACCCCCACAGTTGGCCCAGAACGTGTGGCCATCCTCCAGGATTCCACCACCCGCACAGGCTGCACCATCAAAGTTGACTTCAACACATCCCTCACCCTGTGGTGCGTGTCCAGGTCCTGCCCAGAGCCCGAGTATGTGTGGGCCTTCAACGGGCAGGCCCTAAGGAACGGCCAAGACCACCTCAACATCAGCAGCATGACCGCGGCCCAGGAGGGGATGTACACGTGTATTGTGAAGAACACCAAGACCCTGCTCTCCGGATCTGCCTCAGTGGTGGTCAAGCTCTCTGGTGAGTCACCCCCAGCCTGGCCACCCTGCAATCCCCACAGAGGCCTCATCAGGCTGTGAAGGTTAGGCCACCATTTGCCCAACAGAGAACTGGAACATGGTAGATTCACAGCTGATTCATGAGCTGTGACAGATTGGCATAGCAGGTGGATCCCTTTGCATCTGGGTCTAAAGGGAGACCATACAGCCCATGTCCTGTCGGCCTGGAGAACAAATGGCAAAGCACCGTGGGTTGACAGAGTGGAAAACCACTCACATGTCACTTCAGGTGGGTGCCGCTGTTCTAAATTCAGTCACCAGCTGCTTTGGGCTTGACCCACCCCATGCCACACAGACAGCTGAAATTCTGTGCAGCCAACTAGACTACCTAGTTATCTGACCCAGATGATGGGCACACACACACACACAATTGGAGAATCACAGCCAGTTGCTGGCAAATGGAGAAACAGCTGGGGAGGCACTGTCACCTGGCTTCTGTCCTAAAATGACCCGAGGGCAGCTGGCATTTCAGAGCCATTGGGATCCTCAGGTGACATTTTCTCATCTTCAGGGGATGGTGGCTTTGAACATTAAGGCCTCATTAATTCCACCTCGGTTCCTTCCCAAGTGGCCATCATCCCCAGGGGACAGTGGGGAATGGTCCTTCCCTCCCTCCCACTAACAGGCTGGGTCTCATCCAAGGGGTGGATTTTCACCCAAAGCAGAAATGGCATCCCCAGAGGTAAGTGCGTCTCCCGCCCCACTCACCTGGGGCTTTGGCAGCTGGTCTTGACAGGAGACAGGGGGATGGACCAGATGACCTCAGGCGCTACCCCAAGCCCTGCCCGTGCAGGCCAACATGGGGGGTGTCCAAGGTATGCAGGTATGTGCAGGGAGTGGATACAGTGCCCCCCGGGCTTCTAGTACGTCAGCAACTCTGTGGTAGGTGCTGGGAGAGAGACAGAAGAAAAGGAGACACCACCCTCCCTCCACCTTGGGAGACTAATCTGATGGAGGAGACATGGCCTCTGTCCTTGGAGAGCTGATCCTGGGACAGGGAAACATGGCTCCCTTATTCAAGGAATTCCTGGTGAAAGAAAAGAGGCAATGCCTCAACCTCCATGAGCTTCCAGTCAGTAATGATGAGAGATGGCAACCCACCCTCAGTGAGCTCCTAGTCAGATGGAGGAGACACAGCCTGCACTTGGGGAGAATTTTTCTTCTGATGGGGAGACTTGGTCTCCAGGAGACATGGCCCTGTTTTTTGAGCATTCCTAGTCTGGTGGGGTACCTACCTTTTGGGTACTCCTAATCTGATGGAGGAGTACAGGCCCCCGCTTTCTAGGAATTTCCAGTCTGATGGAATAGGCATTTCCTTCTAACTTCTAGGGTCCCCAACTTGAATGGAAAAACTCAGCAACAATTTAGAATTTCTCAATCTGATGGAGGAAACAGGGCTGCCACCTCATAGGAATTTCCAATCTGACGGAGGAGACATGGCCTCCCACCTTCTAGAATCTTTCAATCTGATGGGGGAGTTATAGCTTACACATTATGGGATCTCTCGGTGAGACAGACACAAGTCCCAACCATCTCATGCGGAAGACATGGTCCCCATTTTCTGGAATTTCCACTCTGATAGGGGAGACATGGCCCCTATATTTTGGGAATTTCCAATCTGATGGAGGAGACATGACCCAACCCTCCAGGGTCTTCCAGTTTAATGGGAAGATACCTCTCAAAGGCTGGGAATTTGTAGTCTGATAGGGGAGACACAGACCCCTAGCAGACACTATTCAGACCCAGAATCCACCCCCATCACCACACAAGTCACCTCCTTCCTCAGTCTCCTTCCCAGCACCCCACATGGGGAGTGCCAGCCAGTGGGGGGAAGCCAGCCAGGGATGGAAGGGGGACACCATGCCAGATGCAGGCCAAGTTGACCCACCCCCCTCGCTCTTTCCCCAGCTGCAGCAGTTGCCATGATGATCGTGCCCGTGCCCACCAAGCCAATGGAGGGCCAGGACGTGACGCTGACCGTGCAGGGCTACCCCAAGGACCTGCTGGTCTACGCCTGGTACCGTGGGCCTGCCTCTGAGCCCAACCGGCTGCTCAGCCAGCTGCCTTCAGGGACCTGGATTGCAGGCCCTGCACACACAGGCCGGGAGGTGGGCTTCCCCAACTGCTCGCTGTTGGTGCAGAAGCTGAACCTCACGGACACTGGCCGCTACACACTCAAGACTGTCACACTGCAGGGCAAGACTGAGACACTGGACGTGGAGCTGCAGGTGACCCGTGAGTATGCAGGAAGGAGAAAGGCATGGCCCTTGTTAGATGGGGGCAGGGGGTTCCAAAAGGAGTCTTTGCTTCCTCCATCAGGCTGGGGGACATAGACCAAAGATGGATATGCCTCCCCCGTCAGACTGAAGGAAGCCTTGTCTCCTCCATCTGACTTGGAGGTCCCCAGATAGGGCTCTGCCTCTTCTATCAAACTAATGACCTACACTGTGGGTAGACAGGCCTCCTCCCTCAGACTGGGGGTTGACAAAGGGGACCCCCATGCCTTCTCTCTCAAATAAGAGGTACAGCAGACTGAAGGTTTTAAAAGAGAAGGCATAGACTGATGGCAGAGCCTCCTTTTTCCTGCAGTCAGGTAGACCCTAAAACATAGGAGACATTACCTCTTTCGCCATACTGGGGAAATGGGTTAATGAAGGAAGTTTACCTCTCCTATCAGACTGCAGGCACAGAGTAAGGATGAATCAGACCTCCCTATTCAGACTGGGAGATCCTATGTAAAAGGGGTCATGTTTCCTCCTTTGTATTATTGCGAGGGCAAAGTTCCTACCATCAGATGGTGGAGTTTCTCTTTCAAACTGAAATAAGGATGGTTTGCTCCATTGGGATGGAGGCTTCTAGGTGTGGAAGTTGTGTCTCCTCCATCAGATTGGGAGTTCCCAGATGTTGGGGACCATGTCTCCCCATCCGACTGGGAGCTCCAGGAGTGAGGGTCCATGTCTCCTCCATCAGACTGGGAGCTCTCAGAGTCAGGGTCCATGTCTCCCCCATCAGACTGGGAGCTCCTTGAGTCAGGGTCCCTGTCTCCTCCATGAGACTGAGAGCTCCCAGAGGCAGGGACCATGTCTCCTCCATCAGACTTGGAGGTCCTAGAATCAGGGACCATGTCTCCTCCGTCAGACTGGGAGCTCCCAGACTCAGGGACCATGTCTCCTCCATCAGACTGGGAGCTCCCAGACTCAGGGACCATGTCTCCTCCATCAGACTGGGAGCTCTGAGTCAGAGTCCATGTCTCCTCCATCAGACTGGGAGCTCCCAGAGTCAGGGACCATGTCTCCTCCATCAGACTGGGAGCTCCCAGACTCAGGGACCATGTCTCCTCCATCAGACTTGGAGCTCTGAGTCAGGGTCCATGTCGCCTCCATCAGACTGGGAGCTCCCAGAGTCAGAGACCATGTCTCCTCCATCAGACTGGGAGCTCCCAGACTCAGGGACCATGTCTCCTCCATCAGACCGGGAGCTCCCAGAATCAGGGACCATGTCTCCTCCATCAGACCAGGAGCTCCCAGAATCAAGGACCATGTCTCCTCCATCAGACCAGGAGCTCCCAGAATCAGGGACCATGTCTCCTCCATCAGACTGAGCATCCCTAGGGATTTGTGAGTCCATGTTTCTATAGCAGAGCCAGGTTTCCCCCATTAGCTCTCAGACACTTGGGGATGAGATCATTCCCCAAGTCTGGCATCAGACTGAGCACTCTCAGAAGCCAAGTCCCTGAGTCCGGGATGGTGCCTCCTCTATCACTGGAAACTTCCAGGATCAAGGACTGAACCACTGCCAGACACCCACTTTCATCCATTCACTGATGAAACCCTGGTTTTCTGGGTCAGTGTTAGAAGAGAATGCTGTTCAGTGGCAGCAGGCCACCGCGACAAAGCCTGGGATTCCTTTTCACCCATTCTCTCTTCTCACAGTCAGCCTCCCTCCCTCGCACAAGGACCAACGCTACCTTCCTGAACCTGAACCTGGCACAGGCTGAGCGTGGGGCGGAACCGGCCACTGGGTGGCCCGGCCTGGGCAGGGGAGCAGAATGGGTGGGGGCACTGGGGACCTGGTCCTCCACCTCCCTGATGGCCTCCTTTGCCCCCCTCCCCATCTGCCCCCACAGCCCTGGGGTAGCAGCGTGATCCTGGAGACGTCCAGAGAGAAGAACTCTTCACGTCATCCTCTCGTCCTTGCCCCCCACTGGTGGGGACCCCTCCCCCAGTGGTCCTGGGGGAGGTTGTGGTCCTGCTGTTCTCCTGCTTCCACCCTAGAGCTAGAGCCACGGGGCCCCACTCCCTCGCTGAGCTTTTGGGGAGCCACCAAGTCCATAAACATCTGGTTAATGCACACGTGTGTCAGCCTCTCCTTCCACCACTGCTAGCCCTCACCACTTCCCAGTTGCCACTTCCTTTCCTGCTCAAGACTTTTCTCAGTCTGGGTGTGCAGGTGCAGGAGGATGAGCCCAGATCGCCGTGCTCCACACCCTACTGCTGGATGGCAGGGCCTTGAGCCCCTCCACAGTACCCCAGGTTAGGCCCCTCCCACAGTACCCCAGGTTAGGCCCCTCCCACAGTGCCTCAGTTTATATGTGAGAGTCCTGCTCCCAGCTGGCCAAGAACTTCCCCTCTTGGGGCACCAGCATTCTGTGGGACATGGCCCTCTGTGGGACTACAATGCACCTCACTTTGTCACCTGGACCCTGAAACAGGGCTGCCTGTGCTCAGGAAATGACCATATTTCTCAAGAAGACTTCCATCACCTTCTGGCAGTCCTCATCAATTTAATCAAAGACACACCTTTGTGTCTTCCATTGTCCTGGGATTATCTGGATGTCCCTCGAACATCACCTTCACAACCCTGAAAATATCTCCATCCTTCTCTAGCCACAGAAAAGGCCCTGAGGATGGATGAATGCAAGCAGGGCAAGGATCTAGGCGAGGAGTGCAGAGCTGGGAAGTGGGAGCCAGAATGAATATGTTTTCTAACTCTTCTCACTAGTGGGAGCCACAGGCCCCACCCAGCCACAATGCCCCACTGGAGAGAGGCCATTAGCATTGGCCTGGAGTGGTGATGGCAGAGACCAGGCTTAGAACAGAAAGACAAGCTAGGGCAAGGGAGAGAAAGGGCCTTTTGGGGATGATTGTGTTGAGTTGGGGTGACTGATTGTCAAAGACCTCCAGAATGGGGGTTATAAAATCCGGATCATAGGCCGGGCGCGGTGGCTCCTGCCTGTAATCCCAACACTTTGGGAGGCTGAGCCAGGTGGATTGTCTAAGGACAGGAGTTCAAGACCAGCCTGATCAACATGGTGAAACCCGTCTCTACTAAAAATACAAAAACTAGCTGGGCGTGGTGGCAGGCGCCTTTAATCCCAGCTACTCGAGAGGCTGAGGCAGGAGAATCGCTTGAACCCAGGAGGCAGAGGTTGCAGTGAGCCGAGATCGCGCCACTGCACTCCAGCCTGGGCACAAGCGTGAAACTCTGTCTCAAAAAAAAAAAAAAAATCTGGATCGTAATCCTGCATTTGCCGTGGATTCACTAGAGCTTCAGTTTGCCCATCAGTAAAATCGGTGTGGACTTGAGGTAGACCCAACTTTTCCAAACCATTTTTAAAAGCCACGGAGCCCTTTCTTCAAATGCAGCTCAATTTATAAATAATAAATGCAGGTCAATTTATTATTAATATTTCAAATAGCAATGCAACAAATATAGGCCCAGCACTGTGGCCCACACCTGTAATCCCAGCACTTTAGGAGGCTAAGGTGAGAGAATCGCTTCAGCCCGAAAGTTTGAGATCAGCCTGGGCAACATGGCAAAACTCCATCTCTATTTTTAAAAACAAATAAATAAATAAAACCAAATATAGATATCAATTCAATAGCTATACTCGTCTCCCCCAAAATTTCTAGGGAAACAAGCAAGACTTGAAAAAAAAGATTCCTTAAATTTAAATAACGCTGGGATTAGCCAGATGTGGTGGCGTGTACCACCGTGTACTTGAGCTCAGGAGTTGGAAGATCGAGGCTGTGGTGAGCCGTGATCACACTCCTTCCTGCACTCCAGCTTGATGTGCAGAGAGTAGCTAATGCGGATAGATTATTTTTCTCACGCATAAAGAATCTCTGAAGCAGATTGTTCAGAGCTGGAATGGAGGCCCTGCAGTGTCAACAGGGACACAGCTCTTTCTATTTTTCTGTCCCATTAGCCTTAGCTTGGGGCTTCCATCCTCTCCATCACCTCATGGCTCAAGATGGCTGCTGACGTTACAGCTGCCTTATCCACGTTCCAGGCAAGAGGCAGAAAGAAGGGGACAAAGGGCAACAGCAACAACAAACAAATCCCCCTTACCAGTTTACGGACTGTGCCCCTCTTAAGGGAATTTTACCTAAGGACCATCCAACAACTCCTGTTTAGATTGGCCCAAGAGTCACATGGCCACCGTAGCTGCAAAGGAGGCAGGGAATTGCAGTCCTTGCCTTGGGTATGTTGCTGCCCCAATCAGCATCAAGGTTTTTGTCTTAAGAAAGGCAGAGAGACTGGGTCTCTGGTGGGCAGCTGGCCACTCCAAGCCTTGGAACTTCTATCTCCTCAGCTAGGCAAAATGGCCTTTCTTACCCGAGCCCAAGGAGTAAGAGTCACAGCCCCAGCAGCAGGGGTTTGGGAAATATGGGAGCTGCTGGTCTGAGCTGCGATTGTGTGCAGCTGATGCAGAATGAGGCCAGCAGGAGGGGCAGAGGGAGGGAAAGAGAAGCAGCTCAGGTTTCTAGGTCGAGCCAGATCCCATAGCCTCAGGGTGTGGTGGAGGCTCAAAGACCAGGTCCTCCTCCCTCTGGGCATCTCTGTGCTCTTGCTGAATCCTCCCACATAGTACAATCCCCTTCTTTTGTAGTAGAGACTACAAACCCCGTCTCTACTAAAAATACAAAAATTAGCTGTGCATGGTGGTGCGCACCTGTAGTCTCAGCTACTCGGGAGGCTGAGGCAGGAGAATTCCTTGAACCCAGGAGGCAGAGGTTGCGGTGAGCCGAGATTGTGCCATTGCACTCCAGTCTGGGTAACAACAGCGAAACTCTATCTCAAAAAAAAAAAAAAAAAGAGTCTGGGAAAGAATAATAACAATAACCACAAAATAATAATCACTCCTATATCAGAGATCAGTCCATTCTCAGATTGCTATAAAGACATACCTGAAGGCCAGGCACGGTGGCTCACACCTGTAATCCCAGCACTTTGGGAGGCCAAGATGGGTGGATTACCTGAGGTCCGGAGTTCGAAACCAGCCTGGCCAACATGGTGACACCCCATCTCTATAAAAACATTAAAAAAAATAATAAATTTAAAAAGATACCTGAGACTCAGTAATTTGTAAAGAAAAGAGGTTTAATCAGCTCATGATTCTGTGGGCTACGCAGGCTTCTCCTTCTGGGGAGACCTCAGGAAACACAGTCGTGGCAAAAGGTGAAAGGGAAGCAAGCATGTCTTCACATGGCCAGCAGGAGAGGAAGGTGAGGTACTACACACTCTTAAACAAGCAGTACTAGGGGGATGGTGCTAAAACACTGAAAACTGCCCCCGTGATCCAATCACTTCCCACGAGGCCCCTCCTCCTACACTGAGGATAATAACTCGGGATCACGAGATTTGGGTGGGGACACAGAGCTAAAGCCTATCAATTGGTTTGTTCCTTTTCCATGCAAGATCTCAATGAATTTCCACAGCAGCTCTTAAGAGAAGTTATTACCATTCCCCTAATTTATAGGTGAGGAAACTGAGGCAGAGACTTAAAAACCTTGCTCCAGGCCCCACAGTTCCCATGGCTCCTGGGTGGAGGTGCTGGTTGGGGCGTCCTCTCTGTTCTTCAGCAGGGCAGGGGGTTTCAGGTCATAGCTCTGAGGTCAGACAGAACTGAATTGGCCTCTTTCAGCTGTGGGAACTTGGGTTCATTGCCTGCTTTTCCTCCTTGTAAAATGGAGAGGATAATACTGCCCCTGCCTCCTACAATTATTGAAAAGATTATATTAGTTAATACGAGTAAAGAGTCTGGCGCATGCATGCTCGATAAACACTTATGATCCAGACTAAGATGTGAGCTTTTAGCAACAGGCAGATGGAAAAAGCAAAGGTAACATTTTTCTTTTTTTCTTTTTTTACAGATAGGGCTTTACTATTATTCAGGCTGGAGTACAGTGACGAAATCATGGCTCACTGCAGCCTCCCAAGCAGCTAAGACTACAGGCACGAGCCACCATGCCTGGCAATTTTTGAATTTTTTGTAGAGTCAGAGTCTTTGCTGTATTGCCAGGCTGGTCTCAAACTCCTGGGTTCAAGCAATCCTCTCACCTCAGCCTCCCAAAGTGCTGGGATTACAGGCATAAACCACCGCACTCAGCCTCAAAGATAACATTTGTCCTGGCAAACTTAATCCTACTAAGCAGGTTTGCCTCAATTTATGTAATATATGATGCTCTTTAAGTTGCAATTACTGAGAATTGCTTACAAAAAGTAATAATAGGCCAGGCGCAGTGGCTCGTGCCTGTAATCCCAGCACTTTGGGAGGCTGAGGCAGGCAGATCACCTGAGGTCAGGAGTTCGAGACCAGCCTAGTCAACATGCTGAAACCTCGTCTCTACCAAAAATACAAAACATTGCCAGGTGTCATGGTGCATGCCTGTAGTCCCAGCTACTCGGGAGGCTGAGGTATAAGAATCACTTGAACCCGGGAGGCAGAAGTTGCTGTGAGCAGAGATCATGCCATTGCACTCCAGCCTGGGCAACAGAGCGAGACTCTGTCTCAAAAATAATAATAACAATAAGTGTTTATGAGCTTTTAGAAACATGATCCTCATCATCACAGGTTCCAGGGTAAGGTGCTCGCAGCACAGATTCTCTGACTTGCTCCTCAAAGCTTCCCTTTGAAATGGAATGACTAATGCATTTCCCACATCTCCTAGCTGTGTATTAAAATATACATCCCCGCCAGGAGCACTAGCTAATGCCTGTTATCCAGCACTTTGGGAAGCTGAGGCAGGAGGATCACTTGAGGCCAGCAGTTCAAGACCAGCCTGGGCAACATGGCAAGACCCTGTCTCTACAAAACAGAACAGAATCAACCAGGCATGGTAGCATGTGTCTGTCATCCCAGCTACCTGGAAGGCTGAGATGGAAGGATTGCTTGAGCCTGGGAGTTTGAGGCTGCAGTGAGCTGTGATGGTGTCACTGCACTCCAGCCTATGAGACAGAACAAGACCCTGTCTCAAAAAATATAAAATCATATATATCCCAGGCTCCTGCCTGGGCCCAGAAAAACCTCTCTCTCAAGGGTGGGAACTTGAAAGCAGAATTTTTTT